GCAATTACTTGTGCAGCTCAACCGTAATCACTCCCTTTGGTTCAATAATGACACTCTGACCCCAAAACTTGACCTTCGGATAAATGCTGCCATAAAACGAAAAACCGTCACCATCGACGTGGAAGGCGCTGATCGGCGGATGATGACTGACCTGTTCACAGACTATACGCACTCCTAAGTCGCTTGATCTGAATAGAATAAACAGTGCAAACAAATCTGATTCGACTCATCACTCACCTGTCCAATTCATAGGTTTCGCCCAGTAACGGATTGAACGGTTTCGCGACACGCTCCCAGTTACAGGCCAACGCTGAGACAGCAAACGCGGCGACTATCTATAACATCAGTTACTTGAAGCAGCTAAGCAACTACGCACTATCTACATTCTTAAAATAAGAACGATAAGACCTCAAATGTATCAAGTAGATCTACACAAATTTATGCAGTCAAAACAACTTTCATCTGCTGATCAATCTAAAACTAAATATTTTAAAGCGTAGGTGTACACCTTTTGATGATTTTTAGTCAGTCATTAGATAAGTCAAGGCGAATTGTAGCCGGAAGGCGCACGCATCAGAGAGTACGACCGTATCTCTCCCATGTTTTGGTATGATTACAACAGAACACCACGCTGCCCCGTCACAACCTAGTTATTCGTTTGGCTGACTGCACCGAAGATCGATGGAGTGAATTCTTTTCTCAAGAGAAGTACCAGTTAATGAAAAAATTTACTCCATGAGTGGGGTTTTATACCGGCACCTCTAAAGTGTAAAGCAAACTAATAACCCACTGGCATGCTGGCAAATAACAATTTGCCAATCGGTTAAATCAACGGAGGCGAATTATCTACAAATTCAATCGAATGAGGTTCATGCATTTAGAATTATCCAGCCATCTTTCGCGATCTTGAACGATTCTAGCCAATGGCCCGAGTCTCTATTTCAGTCAAACACCAAAAGTACAGTTCGCTCTACGATTTTATACAGAGTCGCCATTTTCACGGCGTTGCAAAAATATAATTTTTGCAGCTGCACACTTCCGATTAAAATAGGCTCAATACCAACTTGAATGAAAACAATAGACAAAAACGATGACAAAGCACACGATATTGAAACACCTCGAAAGGCCTGCTTCTTGTTTCTCTGATGATCTAATATTATCTCCAAGCACACTTACGAATGCAAGAAATAGAAATAGATCATCGTCGTTGAAAACACATGGAATGGAAAACTTACACCGGTATGCCCATCCGTTTTCCACGAATTAAATCTTGATATTCACGACATGGAATATGGACAATAAAAAAGTAAAGGACTGCCTACCACAGAGAAAAGTACAATGAAGGGTTAACACCTAACCGACAAGACCACTCCCATACCCTGACACAGCTGGCTAGTAAAACGCTGGAAACAAGGCTAGGTACATCACTGCGCATTTAAAGCAAATCTTTCTATGAGAAGAATATTCTGATTACAAGTATGGGCAAAAGCATTTTGGATCACTGCCCGTCAATTTTCTGACTAGATGATAAAATCTCATGGACAAGAGTTATAGGAAATTCGGACCACTTCTGGTAGAAGATATGAGATCAAGCATATTTTCTGCCATTTGATGATCAGGAACTGAGAAATCCGACATAAAAATACTGCCAGTAGTTGAATAACACATAACATAACATAACAGTTGAATCTCACTTAACAGAGAATGGCATTCACCATTTGCATTCTTTACCTTGTACAAGGTGACATACGAAGACCAGCTTTTGAAAGATTTTGCCTCCACTCGTCAGCTCAATCGTTTTTGGCGATAGCCTTTTACAGGCATCAAGAAAGGAAGCGATTCAACTTCCGTTTCATATTACTTGTCCTCGACTTACTGGAAAGAACCGTCTACTACGACGCTGGGTGATAATTTCATCATCTTGTTGAATATTGAAAGCATCAACTTAATTAGTATCAGGTTTAGCACGATTCA